ATAAGGCGCCACTTTTGTATTAACTAGACTGGTCCCTAATGTCACTGAAGTTCAGAGCTGATAAGGTTGGGTTCCGGTAATTGGTTTAGTCTAAAGTCCTTTAAGGAACTCAACTTCCATTACAGCTTAAATCCATATTGTATATTCATATTTCCTCTGGCTGGCAGCATGATACAAAAGAACAAAGTAATTACGAGTACTCCTAGACACCAATCAAAAACAAGAGAATAGAGCAAATAAAGTTCTTAAAGGGAACCTTGTTTGACTTATCAGTCTAGTCCCAGGAAGAAGAAAGGAAATAGATATTGGCATAGTAACCTTACCCAGTAGTAAACTTGGGCCAACCAATATCCTAGAATGTTACCAATTAGATTTTCACTTCTCACAGGGGAAGTAAGGACTAGTAAAAAAGTTATTTTTCCCTTCCCGACACTATTGAGAATTGGGTCAAAGCATGTGAATATTTAAGGTTATAATGTATTTGACAAAATTATTTTTCAGAGAGATTTTACTAATTTTTTACCCATTTGCATTGTACAAAAATATCATTTTCTCTAAACCTTCATTATACAGCTACTACCCTCTCTATGCTTTAGTTTCCTTATCTGCAAAATAAGATAATAGTGTCTACCTTATAATGTTATTGGGCCAATGTAATTGTATTATCCATGTTGCTAGCCTGAAGGTAATGGGCTGATATAATATGGATTTAAGCAGTAAGGAAAGTTGAGGTCCTTAAATTAATGCCTGCCATGGGTTAAATGCTCAATAAAATACTAGCTATTATTTTTGTTGTTGTGGTCATGCTATTAAAATTTAAGCTAATTGCCCAGCTGAAAAAAAATGTATCTCTATTATTATTATACTTATTGAGTTATAATAATATGAAATATTTCCTTTTAGTAGATGCTGTATTTTTTAAATTTTTTCCTTATTGATTTTAGAGAAAGAGAAAAAGAGAGAGGGAGAGAGAGATAGAAACATCAATGAGAGAGAACTCCTGCATGCCCCCCACTGAGTATTGGGCCCACAACCTGGACATGTGCCCTGACTGGGAATCAAACTAAAGACCTCTTGGTGCATGGGTCAACACTCAACCACTGAGCCACACTGGAAGAGTTCTCAATACTGGGATCATGGACCAGAGGATTTCATCTTGTAAAATGTACTAGAGGCAATAATATTTGCTATTTCATAATGGTCTCTTCTGAAAGCTCACATGAAAGTTTTTTATATCATCAATCCAAATTTTATATAATCATGGCATATCAGAGTAAAAAATAAATTCAGTAGTCATCTAATTCGACCATATGTCTGAGGTTTAAACTACACCATAAAATATTATTGAAGAAGTGTCTAGCATTTGCCTAAATAAGTATAATATAGCTCCTTACTCTCTTGGATTGTTCTCTTTCATATAGAGATGGTTTTTCTATTAGAAACGTGTTCCTCATGGTAGGTTGAAACCTTTTTCTGTACCTTCAGCCCACTTTTTTCTGGTTTTACTCCTAGAACAATTTTTATCATTTTTATATACCACAACTCACTAAAGTCAGTTTCTACATTTACTCCAAATCAATTATTACACAACCACCCACTTTTTCCTCTAAAATTCCTTTATCTAAAATAATTGTGATCCACAGTGTCCAAATTCTGAACCCACAGAATCCTGAGCAAAATAAAATGATTACTGTTTTAAGGCACTGCATTTTGAGATGTTTTGTTTTGCAGCAATGGATAACTAAAATGCTAAAAGAATCATGCTCCCACTGATTCCATCAAAGTAGATGCCAGTGGGCCTTTTTCACTGTACTGATGAAAAGATGTCTGCTTGAAACTACTGCCTCTCACTCTGTGGAGGGAGAGGGAGAATAAAGGGCTAGAAAGCTTCTAAAGAAAAAATATTTAGTACACAATCCCCAAAATAATAATAAATATGATATATTAGTCAAGGTTCTTAGTTGCAAGTAACAGAAACTGATTATACATGATGAAAGCTAAAAGGACTGATATTGAAATATTGGTAATTATGGCCCTGGGGCCAGAACCGCAAGGCCAAATCATATCACAGAAGTGCTATTCAGCACTAGATGGCGCAGTTCACACTGCCAACACCATTAGTGCAGACCCTGCTCCTGGAGCTGCTTATTTGCTGAGTCTGGAAATCAATCAGGATGTTGCTGCTTCCTCTGCCACTGACATACATACATACATACATACATACATACATACATACATAAAAGAGAAGAAGAGGAAAGAAATTGTCTGATGACAAACACTACCTCAGTCAGAAGATCAAGTTAGCATCACCAGAGATAAGTCATGTTGATAACATGTATCCTTGAACTGATATGATGGAAACAGCACTTTCTCTGTGATCTGCCTCCCCCAAACTCATAAACTCAACCTAATTATGGAAAAAAAACATCATCAAAATTCTAATAGATGGCTTCCTATAAAGTATATGACCAGTACTCCTCAAAACTGTAAAGATTATCAAAAACAAGTCTGAGAAATTGTTACAGCCAAGAGAAGCCTAAGGAGACATGATGACTAAATGCAACATGGTATCCTGGATGGATCAGTAAAAAAAATAATAATACATAAATACCCTAAAGAAATATGAATAACGTATTGACTTTATTCATATAATAAGGTATCAATGTTATTTTCTTAATTGTAACAAATGTACCATAATAATTTAATATGAACTGACCAACAAAATAGAAAAAGAGGCATGCATACATAGAACAGACTGACAGCTGCTAGAGGGGAGCCGCGAGGGGGAGACTGGATAAGAGAAGGTGAAGGGATTAGCCAAAGAACATAAATGCATAGCCCATAGACACAGACAGCAGTGTAGTGATGCCCAGAGGGAAGGGGGTGGAGTGGAGGCAGGGACTAAGTGGAGGTGGGCAAAGGGGGGAAAATGGGGACATATATAATAGTGTCAAAAATCGAAACAAAGTTAAAAAAACAATAGGGAAATGTGAGGGGGCATATGGAAGATCACTGTACTATATTTTTTCTCGACATTTCATAAATCTAGCCCTGGCCGGTTCGGTTTGGCTCAGCAGTTAGAATGTTGGCCTGCGGTCCAGAGAGACATGGGTTTGGTTCCCGCTAAGGGCGCGTACCTCAGTTGCAATTTGTCCCGGGTCTTGGTTGGTCGTGTGGGTGGCAGCCACTCGATGTGTCCCTTTCACGTTGATGTTTCTTTCCCTCTCTTCCTCTCTCTCCCTCCCACTCCATCTGAACAAAAAATGGAAAAATGCCCTCAGGTGAGGATTAAAAAAAATGTCTATTTTTAAAAAAAGATAAGAAATTGCTTTCTTTCCTTTTTCATATCACTGCCTCTTAATTCAAAGTCTAGACAGGGTGTGTCTAATGGAGTCCAAGTTACATGCTGTGTCCTTGCTGCAATGAAGACAATGAAAGTAAATTTCAGGCAATATTCAAGTTCTCTGGTGGAAGACAGGCTGGATTTCTCCAAAACTCACAGAAACTATAAACATAGAAAGAGTATTCCATGATCAGAAGCCAAAAATTGGCAAATGTCCATTACACATAGCCTATGAAACCAAATCACCTCCACTAATATCTTGACTACCTAAAAACTCCAGACTTTACCAGTGCAACTCACAATCTACACAACACAATATTCCGAGGATGTGTAGAACACAGAGCAGCAAATGAAAAGATACAACAGCTTAGTATAGAGAATCTTCTGTTGGACATTAAGACAGTTCCCAATTACTAGTATAGCATCTGCCATGTATTAGATTCTCAATATAAATTTTCTGAATGAATATAGAAGTGGTCTAGGAAAAGTGTTGCCTTAAGTCAGGTCAAGTTTCTCTGCATTTTGAAAAAATATAGACAGGTTAGTTAATAATAAGTGAATCAATAAATCAGAGGAGCTAAATTTTATGATGAGAGGAGGGAATGGAGTTTGTAAAAAACAATTCTATGAATCTTAAAGATATAGTTCCAGATGACTTCAGAGTCCTTTATCTTTACAGTAAAAGTCATATATGTTTTAGTGGTTCTACATCTTATAGCAACTATGAAGTGATCTGAGCTTGAAGCTTAGCTGTGCCATCCTTCAGTTTCAATAAATTAGGGGATGATAAACTCTACCTTATAGTTTTATGGTGATAATTGAGATGATACTTATAATTCACTTACGATAGTAATGAGTACAGAAGAAGTTGCAACAAAACAAAAAATCCTAGTTTCACATCCTGTTTTACCTTGGTTAACTCATGGCTTAGATTTATAGCTCCCTCCCTAAGAGGCTTTCCCTGGCTGACTGGTTTTTCTTCTGAGACTCAATACCCTTTTCTTGTATTATTCTCTCTATCTTTATCCATCTGTCTGTAATCTCACCCCCACTCATGCCATCAATTACCATCTATCCAGAAATGACACAAATTTTACATGTCTAGCCCGTGACATCTCTAAGATCCAGATGCCAGCTTTCTATTTGACAGTGCTTCTTGGATGTCACAGCGTATCTCATCCTCAATAAACCAAATCTGAAGTCGTGATCTGCAAGATCTTTTACCTTGATACAAAACTAAATGAATAAATCAGTGAAAACCATTTTAAACCATGTTATATGCAAGACAGTATGATGTCGAAGTTATGTCACTGTTTGTTTTTTTTTTTTGTTTTTTTTTTTTTGGTTCCAAGCAAATTAGGTGGGTGGGGGTAGCTAGGAGAAAGTAAGAAAGATTTGGGCCAGTTTTCCTGTGTGGGATGGGGTTAGCCACATCAATTTGACACGTCTTTCTCCACCCACCCTAAGCAAGGATTGCACCCAGGCTTTCCTGGCCCTAGGGTTGCAAGTCTAAGGATGGGCGGGGCCTAAGGAAGGAGGCGGGACTGGCAAGCCTCCCACCCCCTCCCAGTCTACTTCACAGACCCCTGGGCCGCGCGGGCTTCTGGGTGCTTCTTCCACGTCTGGTGCGCGTGCGCGGAGTGGACGGTGGTCGTACATGCTATTTACAAGAAGCTAATGCGGCAGATCCATTTAAGGACCGGGAGTGGCCAGGGCTTCTTGGTTATGGTATGATTGCCAACTACAGCTCCCTCCGCCCGCCCGGCGACTTGCGCGGCTGTCCTCGGACTGTCGCCGGGGAGTGACTGAACAGAGCCGGGCTGGGAGCCTTGCTCGCAGGTATCACCCGGGTCAGCGGGCGGCGAGGATGCGGGTGCCTGGAGTTGGGAGTCCCGCCTGAGGGCGCACACGCGGGGCGCGCACTGCCACCCTGCTTCCCGGTTCCGCGGAGTCCAGTACCGCGCTCCGCAGTTTCTGCGGGAGAAGCCGGAGGATGGCGCGAGCTGACCGGCATGGGGCGAGGGCTGTGGGAGGACGTACTGCGTGAGAGAGCAGAGATAGAGGGTCGGGGGGTGGGGCAGGACGGCTGGGTTCTAGATCCCGCTCTCCTAAACCAGGAATTTCGCTTCGACGCTGTCCCTCTTACCTTCTACAATGGGGCAGCCTCCAGGGCCTCAGCCTGGGGACTGTATATCTTGGTCAGCTGGTTTTCGAATGACTGGTATTGATTCCTCGTGGGAATACCAGGTGTGACTGGATCAGTCCACATGAAAAGAAAATGGAGAAACGTTCCTTCCAACTTGCCTTGCTTTCCCAGTCATTCCTGGCCACTCTCCCAAAACAGTAAAACCTCCTGGCATCTTTCTTATTTCAGACATTCGTTTCCAAACTGTTTCTGCTCCACTATCAGCGCTAACCTGAAAGGCTCTCCTTACCTCAAGCTGCTGCCCTACATGTAACTTAATGGATTAAAAACAACCCTCTTCACCGACAGGTAACTACCTCTTCCCCATAAATTCCTGTTCAAATTCCTTGACGCTGTAAAATTTTTTGAACTTGTGTCACCTGGTTATTTAATTGAACTCCAGATTCCTGCCACCTGCACCGTACTGAGCCCTTCCCACTGACACTGCCTCACCTTAACTCTTCATCCTGAGCCCTACCGTCACCTTCAAAGACGTCTATTCAGTTTAAACTTGAACACTTCTTGCCTTTGTTAATTTCCGTATTCCTAATTTACAGACCACTTAAGCTCCTCAAAGTCATGCCATACCTTGACCTTTCTGTCACCTAACTGCTCTATCCTAAATGCAAGCATATCATCCTCAACATTTTCACCGGTCCTCCTCGCCCTATAATTATTTATACCGAGTAATTTATTAACTTATATTTTTAACCTGTAAATCCCTAGTATATTTTGTTGCTTTTTCCCAGGGAGTTGCACGTTTAATGCATCTCATTCTTGTTTAGTTATATATGTAAGGCTTTGATATTGCCTCACAGTGGAGTTTGAGTGTGCCCTATTGATTGTGATGTGCATTGTTTTTAATTTGAGGTGGTGTTTAGAAGCAACATTTAAATTTATAATATTTGAGAGTGGTTTTTTGTTTGTTTTCATTCAGGTAGTAAAGGTGGTCAGTACCACTCTATATTCTTTTTATTAAGTTTTTGGTAGCCTGATAAATGGCAGCTTTTATAAGCATTCTCATCAGTGCTACATTAAACTACATTAAATATCAGACTAAACATATTATTTATATGCACTATGTTAGTATAGTTTGTTTGTTTATTTGTTTTTTACTTTAAGGACAGAGAAAGCTGCCTTAATCTCCCATTTTTAATGTGTCATTGATTTCATCTCAGGGTTTCAGAGGGTTTTGCTATAAATATATTTCAATTACATTTTTCGGTGCATTTAATAACTTCATTAGGACTTGTACCTTCAATCATGTAAAGTTTCCTCTTTGACTATTTTAATGCATTAGTGCTTTTAATTCAATATATTCATGCATATTTTATTGTTTACATTTGCTTGTTATATTTTTTAATCATCCCTTTATTTTTCAGCTTTGGAGTTCTTTTGTTTTGGATTCTCTTGAGTGTTTATCTAGTTGGGTTTAAACTTTTACCCAGTGCATTTATTGTTACATTAAATGCCCTTGTTATTATTTCTGTTTTTAATTTTTATGCTTTCTTGTCTCCTGTTGTTTTATTTTTAACATATTGCCTGTGAGCTTCCCCCATCCCTTCTCCCTTTGTGTTAATTTCAAATGTATCTGGGTTTATAGTTTATTGTTTTGCTGGAACCCAGTGATACATCTTTGTCACTTTGAAACTTTTCTTTTTTTCTTTAATGAACCTGGACTTTCCTAAGCTTTGGAGATTTGTGTTGGATCTCAGGAATCAGTAAATAACCTTTGTGCACAAAGTTTTCACCAGTCTGTAAGATATACTAACAGGCAGACCTAAACATGTATATACAATAATCAGTTGAGTGCTTTTAAAATGGATATTATATGGCTCAGCCGGTGTGGCTCAACGGTTCGATTCCTGGTCAGGATGCCCAGGTTGTGGGCCAAATCCCCAGTGGGGGGCATGCAGGAGGTGGCCAGTTGATGTTCTCTCTCATTGATGTTTCTGTCTCTCCCTTCCCTTTCTCTCTCTCTCAAAATCAATAAAGAAAAAAAAAAATGGATATTATATTCTGCTCATTTGCTTCAAGTTCTTCTTTTTTAAAACCTTTTGAATCCCTTCATTCATTTCTCCCATTGCCCAGCCCACTTCCTCTGGCAATTACCAGTCTCTTCTCTAAATCTGTGAGCTTGGTTTTATTGGCTTTTTTTAGATACCTCATATAAGAGAGATCATATGCTATTTGTCTTTCTCAGCCTGACTTACTTCACTTAGTATAATGCCCTTGAGATCTATCCATGTTGTCACAAATGGAAAGATTTCATTCTTTTTTGTGGCTGAATAATATTCCATTTTGTATATATACCACATTTTCTTTATCCATTCACTTATTGATGGACACCTAGGTTGTGTCCATATCTTGGCTCTTGCATATATCTTTTTGAGTTAGTGTTTTTGTTTTCTTCAGATAAATACCCAGAAGTAGAATTTCTGAATCATATAGTAGTTTTATTTCTAATTTTTTGAGGGATTTTTGTACTCTTTTCCATAGTGGCTGCACCAATTTACATTCCCACCAACAGTGCACAAGTGTTCTCTTTTCTTCACACCCTCACCAACACTTGTTATCACTTGTCTTTTTGATGATAGCCATTCTCATAGGTGTGAGGTGGTATTTCATGGTGGTTTAGATTTGCATTTCCCTGATGATTAGTGATGTTGAGCATTTTTGCATTTACCTGTTGGCCATCTCTATGTCTTCTTGGAAAAATGGCTATTCAGATCTTCTGCCCATTTTTTAAGTCAGACTGTTTGGTTTTCTTTTTCTTTGCTATTGAGTTGTATAGTTCTTTATGTGTTTTGGATATTACCTGTTATCAGATATATGATTTGCAAGTATATTCACAAATCAGTCAGTGTGATACACCACATTAGCTAAATGAAGGATAAAAATCATATGATCATCCCAATAGATGCAGAAAAATCATTTGACAGAATTTTTATCATAAATGGATAAAAACTCTTAAAGCAGATATTGAGTGCTTACTATCTGCCAAGAAGTGGGATGAATGTTCTTTTAATCCCTGTTATTTACAGATAGGTATTGTTATAGCCATGTTACAGTTGAGGAAACTCAAGGTTTTGTTAAATAACTTGTTCAATTTCATACATATAATTACTTCAGCTGGGATTAACTTTATATCAGTTATGAGTCCAAAGTATGTGCTCCTAGTCACTTTACATAGCCTATATCAGTTTCTCAATCTTGAAATTACTGATATTTGGGGCTGGATAATTTTTTGATATAGAGGGCTGTCTATTGTAAAGTATTTAGCAGCTTTCTAGCCTCCTCTCATTAGGTGCCAGTAATAACCCCCAGTTGTGACAGCCAGACTGTCTCTAGACATTGCCTTGGTGGCAAAATCACCCCTGAAAACCAGTGGCCTAGAGGCATATAATAAAAAAAAAAAAAAAAAAAAAAGACCTTTGACTAGTAACTTGCCTCCGAACTAGAAATATTGGATAGAAAGCTGTATCTGAACTTCCCTGAACATAATGGCTGTTACAGTTGGGTAAGCTCTTTGGGGAACACTGGGTGCTGTGCTCAGAGACTTTAGAAGAGAGATTGGCCCCTGTGGATAGGCTTTTCAACCAAGATGCTTTCTGCACAGCTTCTGTGGGTCTCTTGACGTGAGCTGTAGTCTGTGAGGACTCCCACTGAAGAAAAAGTTACTCACTCTGCTAACAAGCTGTGTTTTCTGTCTTTTATAGCCTTATGAATAAACGTGCCAAATGTGACCCATGGTAGTTTTGTGAGTCTGTTAGTTGATCCTAAGACCGTCCTGGTAGACATTGCACAGTGGCCACTAGGGAGTCCTAACAGATGAAAACTTTAATGTTAATTATAGTCTGGGATGTACCTTTTGATTTAATGTCAACGATGAAATAGCTCATGGATATCCTTTTACTTTTTTAAATAATAGTTTCTTACATTAATTTCTAGTGATAGTACCAGTTTTACTCATTTTATATAACTTTATTGGTTCTTTAATGAGAACTTAAGAAGTTTTTTAGGCATCTCTAATATAAAACCTTAATATCCTGAATATTCTGCCCGAAGATTTGTTTTGCTTAGTTGTAAAGCAAAAATTAATTGTTAGCTGGTACAGGAGAAATCTAACCTGCAGTTAAATTATGAAGTTTGTTCTAATCAAAGGACTATTTCACTTATCACTTTTTTGTATGATATCTATCTGTGTTTGTTTCCCTGTCTTTTTGGGATGGTTGGAAGGAAGGGACAGCACATTTTTCTGTTCTAAAGAAGGAAAACAAGAATAAAAGGAGAATCCATTATATTTATTTTCTTAAGTAATTTTAAGAATATTATTGGTACTGTTTTATCTTTTAACACTATGCTAATATATGTTCATTATCTATAGGTCATATCTGTGTATTTTTTCAGTCTCTCAGGTACCTGGATGTTGGCTTTGTATCATTTGAAACTTCTGGAAATCCTGGAAATTTTCTATTCAGATATAACTTGGCTCAAATTATACCACACACATATAGTATACAGGTGCTTAGCCCAAGCCTAAGAATTACTGGACTCCTCTGATAAGATAAATTCAAACAAAGTAGGAGTTCCATCTAGGAAGATGCAGCCCCTGAACAAGTTGATGACTATCTCACATCCTCAAAACCTGACTCTGCATGAGGTCCTGAGAGCAGATGTGTCTTGGCAGCAGAAAAGGTCCCCAGTCAGGGAGGCCTGTGACTCTGAGGCGTCTCGTCAAAAGTTCAGACATTTCCAGTACTTGGAAGTGTCGGAGCCTCATGAAGCCCTGAGCCAACTCTGGGAGCTCTGTCTTCAGTGGCTGAGACCAGAGGTTCATACAAAGAAGCAGATCCTAGAACTATTGGTGCTGGAACAGTTCCTGACAATTCTCCCTGAAGACGTTAGGACTTGGGTGAATTTACAGCATCCAAAGAACAGCAAAGAAGTGCTAAGCCTGATAGAGGATGTGATTGAAATGCTTAAAGATGAAGGTAAGAATATAGAAAACTGGTTGTAGAATAGTTGACCCTTATGTGGGATCTAAAAAAAAAAATCAGAGAACAGATTAATAGTTGCCAACAGCGGGACATAAGGAATGGGTGAAATGGGTCAAAAGGTACAAACTTTCAGTTATAAATAAGTCATGGGATGCAATGTATAGCATGGTGACATTGTTAACAATACTGTATTGCATATTTGAAAGTTGCTAAGAAAGTATATCGTAAAAGTTGTCATCACAAGAAATTTAGTAACTGTATAGTGACACATATTAACTAGACTTACCATGCTGATTATTTCACAGTGTATACAAATATCAAATCATCATATTGTATACCTGAAACTAATATAATGTTATATGTCAATGATGGCTCAATTAAAAGGAACAAAAAACCTTTAAAAATAGTTGAACTTTCCCATGTGAAGAGAAATGATCTTTTTGAAGCTAGGAGGTATCAAGGGCCAGATCATGAAGAACTTTACCATATCACAAAACATGGATTTTATTCTGTAAGCAATAGAAATAGAATGAGATCTCACAGGTTGGGCAGAGGAGTACAACAATTTGGTGTGCATTTTAAAACTATCATGTCGGTATCAGTGTAGAATGGGGGTTGGCAAACTATGATCCACAGGCAAAATATTTTTGGAAAAAAGTTGTTTTGGAACACAGCCACTCACTTTCATTTATATTTTATCTGCAGCTGCTTTTCTGCTATGACCAGAGTTGATTAGTTATAGTAGAGACTATATTTCCAGCAAACCAAAGATATTTTTATCTGAATCTTTACCAAAAAAAAGTATTTTTTCAACTTCTTGTGTAAATGATAGACCTGAGGGCTCTGAAAATAGAAAACAGGTTAAAAGACACTAGGTCATGCCCGGCTGGCCTGGCTCAGTTAGGTGAGCATTGTTCTGTGCACTGAAAGGTAGCCAATTCGATTCCTGGTCAGGGACATGCAGAAGGCAACTGATCAATGTTTCTCTCTCTCGCTCTTCCTCTCGCTAAGCATGTCCTCAGGTGAGGATTGAAAAAAAAGAAAGAAAAAAAAAAAAGACTCAGTCAGGTGTTACAGAATGAAGGAAGCATTGGAAAAACACAGAAGTTTGAACCTAAAGAATTTATTGTCTACCTGATCAAAGTTTCAAGATAAAATACTAACATATAGAAATCATCTGCATTAGTATACACTCCAATGATCAATACTAAAATGAAATTAAGAAAAGTTTATTTACAATAGCATCAAAACTAATTACATACTTAACTATACATTTAACTAACGGGGTTTAAGACTTGACCACTGAAAAGTACAAAATATTTTTGTAAGAATTAAAGAATACCTAAATAAATGGGAAGATATCCCATGTTTATGTATTAGTATTGTCAAAATGATAATACATCTCAAAAAAATCCACAGATTCAAATGCAATTGATATCAAAACTCCAGCTAATGTTTTTGCAGAAATGGACAAGCTGATCCTAAAATTCACATGGAATTACAGAAAACCCCAAATAGCCAAAACAGCCTTGATAAAGAACAAAGTTTGAGGATGCATGCTTCCTAATTTCAAAACTTACTACAAAACTAAAGTAAAGCCATGTGGTACTGGAATAGGACAGATAGATCAGTGGAGTAGAATTGAGAGAGCAGATATAAACTTACACTTCAGTGGTCTTGTTGATTTTCAACAAGGGTAGTAAGACTATCAAATGAGAAAAGTTTTTAACAAATAGTACTAGAACAACTTGATATCCACAAGGTAAAAGATTGAAGTAGGACTTTTTACCATATGTAAAAATTAACTCAAAATGGATTAACTATAAAATTCTTAAAGGAAAACATAGTAGTAACTCTTCATTGCTTTGACTTAGATAATTGTTACTTAGATGTGTCACCAGAAATACAACCAAAAAAGAAAAATTAGACTTCATAAAAAGAAAAACTTTTGTGCATTAAAGGATACAATCAAGAAAGTGAAAAGGGAACCTACAGATTGAAAATATTTTAAACCCATACCTGATAAAAGCTCAATATTGGGAAAATGTTGCTAAAAGAACTCTTACAACTCAACAACAAAAAGATAACACAAATTTTTAAATGGTCAAAGGACTTGAATAGCTGTTTCTCCACAGAAGATATACAAAAGGCCAACAAGCATAGGAATAACTGCTCAGCATCATTAGTCATTAGGGAATTGAGTATCTAACCTACAATGAGATACCACTTGACATCCACTAGGATGGCTATACTAATAAAAGGAAAAGAAAAATAACAAGTGTTGGTGAAGATATGGAGCAATTTGAACCCTCATACATTGATTTTGGGAATATAAAATGGTGTAGCCACTGTGGAAAACAGTTTGGTAGTTCCTCCAAAGGTTAGGCATATAATTGCCATACAGTGAAGACAATTGAAAACATATTTACACAAAAATTTGTACATGAATGTTTGTAGCAACATTATTCAAAATAGCCCCAAAGTGGAAACAATCCAAATGTCTATTAATTGATGAATGGATAAATAACTTATAGTATATCCAAACAATGGAATAATATTCTAAAAGAAATATACTGAGACACGGTACAACATGGATGAGCCTCCAAAGTATTGTGCTAATTTAAAGAAGTCAGGCACAGAAGGTCTCATACCATATGATTGAATTTATATGGACTACACAGAATAGGCAACTCCATAGAGACAGTACGGGAGGGAGGGGGAATGGGAGTGACTTCTTAGTGGGTATGGGATTTCTTTTAGGGGAAATGAAAATGTTCTGGAATTAGTGGTGATGGTTTTATAGTCTGGCATTTGAGGATCATTGGTATAACTAAAGAAACTTGGAGAAACTTGAGGAAAGTGGCCCTTGGGTGTACTTCTCACCAACAGGCTGGAGAAGAGAGTTGGTTGCCACTGAGATTCTTATGTACTTGAAAGAGTCAGTTCAAGGTGGCCAGATGCCTAAGTCTATATAGTATACACAGACCAACTTAGAGGAAAAGAACCCTTGAGTAGAATTCTCCCCAGTGTGTTTGAGGAAGGCATTGGTTGGATAAAATACAGGGTAGGGCAAAAGTAGATTTACAGTTGTTAATATGGAAATAATACAATAATTAAGAAATAGTACAAGATAAACTCTATTTCATGTATTCAAGACTGAACCTACTTTTGCCCCACCTGGTATTCGTAGTTCCCAGTAGAATTATAGCCTGTGGTGGCTAAGCCTTGGTAGGCTTTAGTTTTCACAGGATTGAAGTTATTTATTGGAATCTACTATGACCACAGATGCCTCAAAATATTATTTTGGCCCTCTTCCCTCTGATCCAGTATTCTCTGATATTCTTCATCCCTGGTAGAATATCACAAACACTTTTACAGCTTTTTAAAAACATAAGACCTGGGACCCATCCTTAGAGATTCTGGTTGTTGGTAGAGCCTGGCATCATTATTTTTTCAAAGTTCTTTAAAGCCGATTTCTACGAATAGCATGTTATAATCATTAAACGTTTCTCCAGGGCAAAACTTTTCTCCCTAATGTTTTCCTTCATCTTCTTCAGATAGACCCTGCAAGGATTCTGTCCTCCAGAAGGGGAGCACCTTGAAGGAGAAAATGGAAGCTGATTCACTAAAAGGCAAATCCCAGGTAAGTTAGGACTCCACTCTTTGTGGAAAACAGCTGCTTTTTCTCTTTTGGCCTTTGAACTTTTGCCAAATACAGTTCTGTCTAAGGACATGAGACTTGTTCTCCCCCAGGACATTGGACCTCTTTTAGTTGGTGATACACTTTTTGGGAAATACAATCTTTGTATATTCTCTGTGCATTTATTTCTTCAAGATTATAAATGATAATTGAAGCTAAAAATGGAGCCCATGCAGAGAACGTTCAGAATTAGAAGTGGAGGCAGCCAAGGGAAGAATCCGAAGCAGTGTCAGTAATCGGCAGGAGAGGAAACCTCCAAGGATACTGAAATGAAAGGACCCAAGTGGTAGAGGAAAAGACAATGCCGCTGAAAGCAGAGGATGAGAATATATCAAGAAGAAATCCTTTAAAGTTCAGGAAGACCCAGCCTGAGTAGTGTCTGTTCATTTACCATCGTGGAGATACAAACATGCACGGGAATGGAAGCCAGGTTGAAGGGGGTTGAGGAAGAGAAGGTGAGGAAGTAGGCAGAACCATCATAGACACTGTCTTATTCACAAACAGTCTCTGAAGTAGGGGAAGGGAAAGGATTTGTGTATTTCAGTGTGATTGAAGGCACCTACACCAACAATGTCGAGACTGCTGGAGAGCAGTGCAACAACTGATGGTGGTATGGGGCCCTTATAAGAAATGTTTATGCAGCACCTAATATGCCAGACTTTGATGACAGTAAATGAAACAAAATCCCTGCCTTTGTGGAGACTATGTCCTAATAGAAGCAGACAGGCAAACACAAGCAAATAAGACAATTGCAGTCCTGGCTGGTGTGGCTTAGTTGGTTGAGTGTTGTCCCATGCACCAAAGGGTTGCCAGTTCCTTTTCTGGTCAGGGCACAAACCCAGGTTGTGGGTTCGATCCCTGGTCAGGGTGTGACCAAGAGGCGGCTGATCCATGTCTGTCTGTCTCTCTAACTCTCTCTAATTCACTCACTCTCTCTCTCTCTCTCCCTCTCTCTTCCTCTCCCTTTTTCTCCCTCTCTCCCTCTCTCTCTCTCTCTCCCTCTCCCTTTCTCTCCCTTTTCCTCTTTTCCCCTCTCTCCCTCCCTCTCCCTTCCTCTCTAACATCAATAAAAACATTTTTTAAAAAGATAATTGCAGCCCTGGCCAGTTTGGCTCAGCGGTTAGAGCGTCAGCCTGCAGTCCAGAGAGACCTGGGTTCGGTTCCCGCTAAGGGCATGTATCTTGGTTGCAGTTTGTCCACGGCCCTGGTTGGGTTGTGCGGTGGCAGCCACTTTATGTATACCTTTCACGTCGATGTTTCTCTCTTTCTCTTCCTCTCTCTCCCTCCTGCTCTATCTGAACAAAAAATGAAAAAATGTCCTCGGGTGAGGATAAAAAAAAAAAAAAAAGATAATTGCAGACAAGAGTAATTATTAGAAAGAAAAGAAATATAATGCAGTAGAGACTCATTAAGAGGATGGCTACTTCGGGTCATCAGGAAAGACCTCTCTGACGAGGTGACACTGGGCTGTGAGGCCTGAGTTCGGGGCGGCATTGCTCAGTTACAGAAAAGGCCCTACTTCTGCTGGCACAGCCGACACCATTACAAGTTTCCCTCGAATCTACCTTCACCTCTTTGTGTTCTGAACTCCTTTTATGTAAATTATTTATACTCTATAATAATATTTGTCCCACAGTTATTCCAACTGGCTTTTTCTCCAGCAAAAGGTAAGCTAATTAATTTTCCTTTTGCAGCTCTCACGGAGTTCCAAGTTGATAGGCCCCTAATAGAACATGATTTTCATCCTTTAGAACTCCAAACATTGTCCTGTCAATTTCTACCATATTCTTTCCAAATTTATTTCTCCTCTAGTAATATTTTTGGAGTGACTTTTGATTAAAAAGGAACTTAATGTTTTAGGAACCAGTGGCATTCAAAGATGTGGTTGTGGAATTCAGCCCGGAGGAGTGGGGGCAGTTGGACCCTGCTGTAAAGAACCTGTACAGGGATGTGATGCTGGAGAACTATGGGAACCTCAGTTCATTGCGTAAAGGTGGCTTCTATGTATTTACCTAATCTGCTCATTCGTAATCTCTTCATCTTCTGTTAAATACTGTAGGGCTGCTGAAGTGATTTGGGTTGAGGTTCAGGTTTCCTAATATCCTTTGGGCACAATAGCAGATTTTCTTGCTGTATCTGGTTGAAAATCCTTTTAGTGGTACAGTTAGAATACACAGGTGTGGTGATTCTAGCCTAATCTTTCAACAGCTCTTAGATTATTATGTTGGGATGGACTTACTTTTCCTATAAAAATGTCTGAAGTGTCATGTATGTTTGTTTTTGTTTGTTGTTGTTGTTTTCATTTTCCCCATGAACAGAGTTTCTGTTTGCCAAACCAGTTGAGGATAAGAACCCGGAGTCAGAGAATAAGAAACAAATATGGATAATGGAGCAAGAAATTCCAAGAATAGCTGTATTTGGTAAGAAGCAGGCAGATATGAGGCATTTATAAAAAACTTCTGTTTGTTAAACTGACATTGTACAACCCAGTCTTTGACTGATAGTTGGGGAGATGACGAGAAAACCACCTAAACTTTAAAGAAAAAAGTCATTATTGCTTTTCGTTCACAGATTGTTTCTTGTGTGGACAGGCAAAATAGTGTCATGGGTTAGAAACACAGCCACTTAAAGCTCTGTGGCCTGTCTGCTAGTTTCCTAATCTGTAACAGAGAGTGAGTAATAGTATCTACATTTTACTGTGTAACGTACTTAGAGCAGTACCTGACACCTGGAAAGTGCTATATAAGTGAATGTTAGCCAACATAACATTAAATAATACTCTTTCTTTTAAAGAAAACTCTGCTTTATCTTAGAGTGGCTTTACTATTTTTCCTTTTTTTTTCTCCCTTCTTTAACATAGAACTCCTTAACTTATGACTCAAAACCCTACCCTCATCATAATCTCTTTATTCTTATTAACATTTTGTTTCTCAGAGATTATAAATTATTGTGGGCTTAATATACATTTTAGTAAGTATAGAAAGTATGAAAAGGAATATAACCCATCTTATTACCTCACTACCCAGAGCTATGTAGTATTAACATTTGCTTTGTTTTCTTAAGCCATTTATTTTGTCTGTGATGATGTATTTCTGTGGCTTATGACAATTTCTTTTTTCTAAAATTGGGGTTATCAGGAATGAAAATGTAGTTTCTAATTTACATAGAACATTCCATCACATACATCTATCAATATATTCAACCTGTGCTCCCTCCCACCCCAACTATTGGACATTTAGGTTATTGTCAATTTTTCAGGCATATCTGATAACTTTAATAGGATATAGAAGAGGAACTTCAGCATTGGGGGGGGGGGTGTATGTATGTACATACTTAGGGAGATGTTCAAAGATGCATTTTGTTCATTTAACAATTTTTATTCAATTACAGCTGACATTAATATTATTTTATGTTTGTTTCAGGTGTACAGCATAGTGATTAGACATTTATATAATTTAAGAAGTAATACCCTAGCCCTGGCCGGTTTGACTCAGTGGTTAGAGCATTGGCCTGCAGACCAGAGAGACCCAGTTTTGGTTCCCACTAAGGGCATATACCTTGGTTACAGTATGTTCTCGGACCCGGCTAAAGTCGTGTGGGTGGCAACCAGTTGATGTGTCTCTCTCACATCAATGTTTCTCTCTCTCCCGCTCTATCTGGAGATAAATGCAAAAGAAAGAAGTGATACCCTGATAAGTCCAGTACCCACCTAGCACCATACATAATTATTACAATATTATTGTGTTTCTGTTTTCTTTTCTTTTTCTTTTGGTACGTGCCCCACGCAGGAACCGAACTTGGGACTCTCTGGTCTGCAGGCCAATGCTCCAACCACTGAGCCAAACCGGCCAGGGCTGTTTCTGTTTTCTTTTATCACCCTGGCAAACACTAGGTATTTTTTACCTGAAATCTTTATTAATGTGATAGGCAAATTACTCTGTTTCTTCCTTTCTGAGGTAAATCCTCTCCCTCAGTTATCTTTTGGATCCCATTTCAATAAAAGGCTCTTTCTTCCATTTTTTGCCTTGTTGGTGTCAGAACCTTCTTTTTAATACTTGTATCTCATTTATTTGTTCTGTAATTCTCCTTTTCTAGTCTCACCTTAAATTTCATTCTGTATTTAAGATGCTTAAAATATGCATATCCTCTTACATGGTTTAGCCTTCCTTTTCTAATTAAACCATTTCTCTAGTTTGTGTCATTTTTTTTTTTTCTTTCTAGACAGACAGAAAATTTCAGAAAATGAGGATTCAGTTTCAAAGCGGAGAATTTCTGGAGAAGCATCATCCCATGGAGTGACAATGACAAGACTGACCCAAAGTGGACTTCCTCCTGTAGCTGCCTGGAAAAGTGGTGATTGGTTCTATGGGAACCAGGAACTCTGGGACAGAAATCTGCCACAAGAAGCTTTCATTCATAAGACAACCTGTACGGAGGGGGGCGACTTTGAATGTAGTGAAAATAAGAAAAGCTTTGATGTTCAGTCAGTTAATTCAGTTTTTGATACTCAACAGGGGGTTCCTATCAGGAAGGGGTCCCCAAAGTGTGATATGTTTAAAACTAGCTTCAAATTTAATTTTGACGTAGTAGGTAAGCAACATTCAGAAAATAATGAATATGGGACTGCCTTGAGCCTGAGTCCAGATATTCAGCACCCAGAAAGGCATACCACAGTGAATTGCTATGAGTGTTTTCAGTGCGGGAAAGCCTTCAGCCGGAGTTCATCCCTTGTTCGACATCAGATCATTCACACAGGAGAGAAACCCTATAAATGCAGTAAATGTGGGAGAGTCTTCAACCGACAAACAAACCTTGCTAAGCATCAAAAAATTCATCCTGAAGTAAAGGCCAATGAAGGAAATAAATGTGAAACAGCCTTCAGTGAGAGTGAAGACAGTAATAAAAATCCAAGTCTCCATCCTAGAGAGAATGCCTATGAATGTGTTGACTGTGGAAAATCTTTCAGCAGGAGCTCCTCACTTATTCGCCATCAAATGATTCATACAGGAGAGAAACCATTTAAGTGTAACAAATGTGAGAAAACCTTCAATAGGAATTCAAACTGTATTAAACACCAAAAACTTCATACTTGAGCAAAGCCCTATTACAAGTCAATGTGGTATTACCTTCAGTCTGAGTGCCGAACTCATTTAACATCCATGAATTTATACTGGAAGGAATCCTATGAAAATAGTAAATGGGAAAAAAAACTGTCAGATTATTCTTTTTTCTTTTTTAATCTTCACCCAAGGATATTTTTTCTGTTGATTTTCAGATAGAGTGGGAGAGAGGGAGAGAGGGAGGGAGTGAGGGAGAGAGAGAGAGAGAGAGATGTGAGAGAGACACATTGGTTGCTTCCTGCACAACCCCAACCAGGGCCTGGGATCGAACTGCAACCAAGGCCAGAATCAAACCTTGGCCAGAATCAAACCTAAGACACTTTGGTCCTTGTGTCGGCGCTCTAACTGCTGAGCCAAACCGGCCAGGGCAGAGATTACTCTTTAATTGATAGTGCTGGAATTAATATTGGAGGGAAATATGTTATTGGATAGAACTCTTAGGGAGATTTCCCAGGCTTCAAGATAAAGCCACAGAGTTTGGAGCTAGACATATCACCATACAAGTATTATCTATCATTATTCTGATGATCATTACCATTATCTTTCTCTAGTTCATAAATAGGACCAATTCACCTGATCTATTGAGGAAGTCCATATGAGGGAGAAGCGAAGCAATACCCTTGGAGTTGATATTTAATAAAACTCAAATTTTTAGTTCTTATAAGAAGGTCACAAGAAATCAGGAGCTCATGAGTTTACAGATGGACATTTTTAAGAACTGAACCCTCTGAATTAAAGGCAAAGACCACAGGGACAGCCAATTACTCCACCCTGATTAATATTCTTGGCTGTCCTGGTGCCCAATGGACGCTACAATTGTAAAAGGGTTATCAACTGCAATGGGAGGTGGATGTGTCATTAATCAAAGTACTCTGGGATCTAGGCTGGAGAGACATCCATAGCCCTAGGTCTATCATTTATCATAAACATTAAAGGTCAGTAAAGTGTTCTAATTCTCTGTGCACCAGAACTCCCTCCTTGAATAAATGGAAAGATGTTTCTGGATGAGAAGACTGTTGTAGAGATGTTGAATCTTCCCACATTAAACTATAAAAAATGTCTAATCAAGTATTTCATTGAGAAAACTATTTCACAAATTGATTATAAAGTTTATCTTGTAGTTGCCATTTAGTGAGAAAAACCAAGAGATGACTCTAAGTATATATGACAATGAGATTGGTGGCTAAAGAACAAAGCTAAGAAAGAAAAATAAAATTATGTTTATTTGTGTGTGTATGTGTTTTATGAAAATGCTTCTTATAAAACACCTAAAAGAGTTTCAAGACATATGGCAAATTGAACTAGGTTTTAATCCTGGATTTGCCAGTAATTTGTTCTATAATTAGTTATTTAACTAATATAGTACTCATTTCTTAAATACAGGAATTGCAAATTAAATACAAATGTATGATTTTAGTATTACTAAAGCTTAATGATTGCCCTGGCCGGTTTGGCTCAGCAGTTAGAGCATTGGCCTGCGGTCTGGAGAGACCCAGGTTCGGTTCCCGCTAGGGGCGCATACCTCGGTTGCAGTTTGTCCCTGGCCCTGATTGGGTCGTGTGGGTGGCGACTACTCGATGTGTCCCTTTCATGTCGATGTTTCTCTCCCTCCCTCCCACTCTATCTGAACAAAATATCAAAAAATGTCCTTGGGTGAGGATAAAAAAAAAAGCTTAATGATTTAACACAATGTTTGGCTCATAGTAAGTGCTCAAAAATCATAGCCATCAGTTATAATTACCAAAGAAGCAATGGGCTGGCTCAGCAATTAACAACCTTCCAAAACATCAAATACAGTAAATTCTAGTTTTAGGGATGAAGGACTCCCCAACTATGCATGCTCAATAGGTTTTCTAAGTCAAAATTATGATTTTGTGAAAGAAATTTCAGCACCAGAATTAAGCATCACTGTGAACACTTTTAAACAGGAATAGATCCCACCATACCCCCACCATTTAGGTTAATATGAAATGGTTACTTTTCCTATCCTTAAACTGGAAAAGAAAGGTAACAACTCTTGGAGATCTATTCAAAGATAAATATAAAGTATGGAACAATCCATTCACAAATCCTGTGGTAACAAATACTCAAAAATCTGGATGCATGTGAGTGTCTATGTTTATGCATGTGAGTGCAGTCTTACCAAGTATAGCAGATAATTGACCATACCAAAGCAATGTTTTTATAACAAAATCTAGCAAAAACTAACACGAGCTATATTCACCAGTTGCCTAACAATCTAAAGGTGAGTACTGATTGGCATGTGCTGTGGGAGACTACAGGAGAACAAAGGGGCTTTTGCCCACTGGAATATAAAACCAAAGATAATTGGTCTGATTGTAATATGCACATCATACAGGAAACCAAGTAATAAGAAAAGGAAAGGAGTTAGAATGGTTGAGCGAAGAAAGGGGAGAGGCTATCGGAAGATTAAGCTTCCAAGAATAAGAATTTTCTTTACATCTTCAAGGATGGAAAATGGTAACATCTCAGTGGTTTGACTTCTGAATGAGAATATATAAGTTTGGAATCAATGAAAAATCTAAATATTCTGCACCAGCCTCTGGCCAGGTTAGAGCGTCGTCCTGATATGCCAAGGTTGCAGGTTTGATCTCGGGTCAGGGCACATACAAGAAGCAACCAATGAATGTACAAATAAGTGGAACAACAAATTGATTTCTGTCTCTCACATCAATTAAAGAAGATTATTCTTCACCTACTCTTTATCCCTTTGATTCCAAAATAATTTGTGTTCACTAGTAGTTAATAAGTGGAGAAAGCTGACATGAGGACTACCTGGAGAATGTACAAGACTTGCTTGATGTTTTAAAATTTTATTGTCAGTTTCATTAACATAGTAATTATTAGAGTTGTATAGTTTAAAGAGGGGACTTTTTCAATCAGGTTCTCTTCCTGTGATGAATCAGTTTTCATATAAAAGCAACTGAAAATATTTCTGAGTGGGACACCTGTAAACTTTTTAAAGGATTATTTGCTCCTAAACCCCAAAATTCTAAAAATAAGTAAAAAAAATTCAATGTATTTGGAATCATCAGAGCCTGTGACGTTATGGCGATGCTGCCTTTTCAACTTCCATCCCTTAAACATTTACATCATGTCAATACTGCGCTAGAAGCTGGAGACACTCCAGGAACTACTATTTAAACTTTACACTAGGTGTCAGGTCCTAGACAAATTGATGTGGAGGCACAGGATTCCGGAGACCAAATTTGGCAGACTTGAAGCCCTCGGCGTGGAGGCAAGATATCCGAGACGACTACGACGTAACTGCATTTCGGGAGGGAGAACAGGCGCCTATTAACCTAAGCCCTGGCTGTGAGGGGCTCCCTGTCCATCCTCCTTTTCCCTGCGCCCCTCCTGGGGAAGGGCAAGAGGAGAGGAGTCCAGGGGCAGCCCCTTTCCTCCTCTGAAGAGCTCGCCTAGGAGATCTTCAGAATGTGCGTCTTCAATATGCAGCTTCAGTCTATTAACAAAAATAAATCAAGTCTAACCCTCTGCTCGCCCACGGGAGCCCCTTGGATTTTAGGAGGCAGGGCAGGCTGGGAGGCTGGAAAGCCTGGCACTGCAAGAACGAAGCCGGAGCCCATCCCTAGGGAACTCCTACTCCAGGTACCCAGGAGCTCCTCCTAGTGGAAAGCACCCCTCCAAGTGGCGAGCCGGCTGGGGAAGTGGGGGCGCGCGGAGCCCGTGGAGTAATCTTGGGCTGAGGCTTTCCTCCAGCGTGCGCAGCAGGGTTCCGCCAGCGGGGTAGCCTCACGGATTCTTTTTTTTTTTTTATCCTCACCCGAGGACATTTTTCCATTTTTTGTTCAGGTAGAGTGGGAGGGATAGAGAGAAACATCGATGTGAAAGGAACACATCGAGTGGCTGCCACCCGCACGACCAACCAGGGCCGGGGACAAACTGCAACCGAGGTACATGCCCTTAGCGGGAACCGAACCCGGGTCTCTCCAGTCCACAGGCTGATGCTCTAACCGCTGAACCAAATCAGCCAGGGCTAGCCTCGGGGATTCTGACTTCCTGTGTGCTCAGCCGACAAGGAATGCACAAGCTTTCTCCCAGGACACCGGGTAACCGTTCTGTCTTTGGGGCTTCTCTTCAATGGGTGTTGTAAGGGCACAAAACCTGTAGTCCCCAGCACCTGGGAAAACGCTTGGCACTTGGTGCCCGAAGACGTGGTGAGATTTCCCGCGGGGCCTCGTCGCTTGGTGTCTTGGGGCTAATTGTGAACCTTCCAGAGCCAGAATTTCTCTGGATGTAGTGTGCGCTTAGTAGGCCCTTTTTTGAAGTGATTGTGAGATTAGAATGACATTAGACTTTTGAGAAGTCTTCTTAGAATCGGTGTGTTGTGAAAATTAATACTTTATTTTGTGGTAGGCAGTTTTTTTCTAGGTAAAAGATGGAAGGACCTTAGAACTCCTATTTCAGTCCCTTTAATTTACAGCTAAGAATGCTTGAGCTGAGATGTCAAATGTTTATCCTAATTCTATACCATCAATAAAAGACAAAAGGCCAACAAGTTCTCAAGATATTTCAGCCACTGTGCTTTTCACTGCTCACCAGGACACTTTTGCAAAGACTTAATGGGCTAATTCATTTGCCAATTAATTTTAACGTTTGGTGAAAGATACCTGCACACATGGTGGTCTGTATGTATTCTAAATTCTAGTGTCTAAGATGATGAATAAAAATACACCCCTGTGTTACCATTCGGACTGGATTGTATAATATTTCAGCCTCTGCATACCCTACGATTTAATCAGTTAATTTGGTGGGCATATCTGACAAGATCTGCCTGACTCTGATACCAGGATTGCTGATGACAGTCTGCATTACTCCAAATTTTTATTGACCCAGTGATTATAAAGTTTTTTGACATTAGACGGAAATAAACTCTGTCTTCATAAAAACTAATCTGAGCTCAGGCCGCCTAGCTCTTAACCACTAGGCTGTACTTATTCCCAAAACTGCTGGAAATACCCAGGTCCACCTACCGCCCCCCTTATTTCAATTTATTCTGGGCTAAGATTAGAACTACTCCTTCTGGAAAAGCTCCCCCCACCCCCAGCCACTCCTCCCAAGGTTGGGCTTGACCCATTCCATGGCACAATTACAGCTTTATATTATCCAGATGAAAAAGCCCTAGACCTTGAGGAGTAACTCAAATCCCAACGTGAAATCATTAATCTGAATAGACGGATTTCACTGTCCCTAAAACACTGTACTCTACTACAAGTTTTTCCTCTTGTCAACTACAAGCAGTTTTTCTTGTCTGTAAACTATTTTTGGCCTTCTTTTTTATCTATTAAAATACTATCTAAGCCCTGGCTGGTGTGGCTCAGTTGGTTGGAGCATTATCCTGTGCATTGAAAGATTGTGGGTTGGATTCCCTGTCAGGGCACACACCTAGGTTGTGGGTTGGGTCCTGGGTTTGGTCAGGCTCCTGCTGGAAGTGGACCAATCAATGTTTCTCCCTCCCTCCCTTCCCCTCTCCCTAAATCAATAAGCATGTCCTCAGGTGAGGATTAAAAATAAAATACTATCTAAAATCCAGTTTTAATACTACCTTCTGATATACTCAGTATACTCAAAATCTGATGATTTTTCTCATCTGCATTATTAATACTATGTAAACACCTTATCTTTCTTAGGAATTACTGCAGTAGTTCCTCAGTAGAATCCCTTTGTTGCTTGCCTCTACCTTCAGTCAATTCTTAACTCAGCATTCAGAGTGAGCCCTTTAAAATTTAAAGTTATATCCTATGACTTAAAACCCTCCAATGGCTTTTCATATGACCTTTAACTTCAGTATTTTAGTGAATATATTTTCCAGATTTACTCTGGTGAGCACACTAATTAAGGGGAAAAAATAAAACCAACAATTTAAAAAAGGAAATTGCCTCCTACTATCAAAACACATTGATCCCACCGTAGTTGTCTACTAAATGGTCTGATGCGCTCCATTCTTGATCATTCTCTTCCCCTCACTTTCCAATATGTCCAATATGTCCAAACTCTTGTTAAAGTCATCTTTTAAAAAATGATGCCCCTTCATTTAAGCTTCATTAATTTTTAGCTTGGCGTGGGAAGTCCTTTGTGATCTGTCCATCTTCTAACCTCTCCTTCCACTTTTATACTTGATACTCAGTGTCAAGCTACTTGTAGCTAGCTGTATACATCATATAATTTTATTATTCCATTTATTTGCACAAATCACACCTTCTGCCTCCTATCTTTTAACCTAATAATTTAATATAGAAAATTATTATAAAAATTACCTAACAAAACTAACATAATGACATTTATGGCAGTTCGACTTATGATATAAAGTGAAAAGTCTAAATCCTGATAAAAGATAATTATAGTACAGCCACACAATGAAATATCATGTAATGTTTTAAATAAGTTATATGTAAAAAGGTGATTTTTATTTTTTATGAAAATAAGATACCAATAAAAATACAAAAAAATACAAAAAAGTTTGAAGAAAATAAAGGTAACCACAATCCATTTTATCAAAGAGGCACACTAATAACATTTTTTAATATACCCAGTATTTTCCCTATGGAAATATCCATATAAATATATGTAAATATAATCTTACCCTATATGCAGTTCTATATTTTGTATCTTTACTACCATAAGTATAGTTTTATTACAATATTCTTGGAAAATATGTTTTAATGACTGCATAACATTCAATCATATAAATACATCATAATTTATTTGACCTTTCTCCTATTTTGGGGAGAGGGCAACATAAAAAATACTGCAGTAAGTATCTTGAACATTTCTCTTTGTGTGTGTTCTAATTTGGTTTAGAGTGCTTGGCTCAAACCAACCACTTTCTGGGGAAACCTATTTGAACATCAGTCCTCAATGACCATGTTTTATGCCTTATCACCCCATGCCTGAGCATGTCTTAAGGGACAAGAGTGACAATTTGATACAAAGATAGCCAAAGGCTTACTAGTACCCTGTGGTTTAGCCTGGCCTCAAAGGCTTGTCTAGAGGTAGTAATTATAATCAGTTAATCATCTTCTCCCATTCAGAAATCTGAATAGCGACCCTGAAGGAAGTTCCAAGTTAGTAGTGGGCAACAAAAAGAAAAAATATATTCAGGCATGTGATGGCAATGATAAGCATACACAGAGTGAATAAACAGGAGGTCAGTCTGTAGAGAGAAAAGAGAATACCCAAAGAGAAATAAGTCTTGAAAGAATAGCCTTATTGTCTAATGGCTTTGTAGAGTAAGTTCCCATAGCGAAGCTTCTGTCCTTGGACTTTTTTGGTGGTATTTTAAACCATAATATTTTATAACTATTTTATAATGAGATAACCTAAGTAGATCACTGTTCTCTGCAAATAGATGTTCCTTAATAGTGTGTAACTCTATTTCCATAGGACATATGCCTAGATATGACTCTATAGGAAAGGCTATCGACAGTTTTAAGACTCATAATTTGCCAAATAGCTTTTCCAAAAAGTCTGTATTAATTTGCCCTCAACATAAGTAGTGTATAAATATCCATCATGCCATACTCACACTGAAAATAGCTTATAATTTTTAATAAAAGTGGTGTTTCATTTCTTTAATGTTGATATCCTTTGCCAAATTTTTAACTAGATGTCCATGTTAATTTATAAAAGTTCATAACTGTCATAATCATGAAATATTGTTTCTATTATTGCCTGACTTCCATATGTTCTTAAAATTAGTTTAAAAAATTAAGTGGTCAAATTCCTAGGTATTGTTTCTGGGTTCTTCCATTTCACCTCTCATAAAATGCATGTGTATTCTTGTGTTTTCAACTATAAAAAACAAACAAACAAACAAAAAACCGTCCTGGTCGGTTTGGCTCAGCGGTTAGGGCGTTGGCCTGCGGTCCCAAGAGATCCTGGTTTGGTTCCCGCTAAGGGCATGTACCTTGGTTGCAGTTTGTCCCTGGCCCTGGTTGGGTCATGCGGGTGGCAGCCACTCGATGTGTCCCTTTCACATCGATGTTTCTCTCTCTCTCTCTTTCTCCCACTTTACCTGAACAAAAAAATGGAAAAAATGTCCTCAGGTGAGGATAAAAACAAAACAAACAAAAAAAACTTTAGCGAATTTTAAACATTTTGACTAAAGTGGTAGAACCTCCTTTAAAAAAATAATCTGTGCTAATCTTGTATATGAATCATATAAAAATGAGGTTAAATTTAAGGTTCATGTTTCTGATACACATGGAGGTTCTTGGAACACAGCTTGAAACTTATATGTATATACATGTATATGTTTGTATATATATACATATATATGAT